TACAACGTTAAAATGAGCTGCGATAAACTAAAATAGTTATAAAATTGAATAATGATAAAATGTAACCAAATGAAATGTGATGAACTGAAATGTGATGAATTATCATGTAATAAGTAGAGATGTTATCCAAGTTTGGGATTGCATTCAACAATATTTTCCTAAAATCTGAGATTTCACTTCTGGAGAAAAACAATAAAATGTGATAAAATCCACTGTAATTCATAAAATCTGACCACGTGCGTATTCTCCTGTAGCGAAAAACAATTTATTCATTGAATTTATTTGTTAATTTGCTGCATACAATTTTTTCTCTAATAAGAAAAAAATCATTGAATGTTAGAAAAATGCATGTTAGGGACTGTCGTTTCTAGAATCGAATTTTTTCTTCTTGAAACAAATTTTTTCCCTGCATGGAATTGATTAATGAGAACTTTCTGATTACGAAAAAAAAATTATTATGAATTTAAGAAAATTATGACTAGCCGAGAAAATTCATCGTTGATCGATCATAGTAACTTTTCAATCGTTTTATGATATATTTCCGACAAATAAACTCTCCTTTTTGCCAATTTTCAAAATGATTTTCAACGATTCAATATGAAAATTGAGATCAGACCCTAAAAAGAAGAAATCGTAAAATTTTGGCTATACATCTATTGATCTAATAAAGTTGAGCTTGAATGGTCTGATAGTCCACTACAAATGTTGAGCATGATTCTCATGAAATATCAATTGTCAAAGTACAGGAATATCGTTAAAATATTTGGATTGCGTGAAAGAGATCAAGGACTTTTCTTTGAATTCAACAAAATGAAAACCGTTTGCTTCACATTTTCTTTCCGTCGCTTCAAAGTAGATAAAAGTGTGATTAAAAGAAATTTTTCATAACACGAATAACTCCAGAGCTAACGGCAGAGATTGAAACAACATTATTACGTTTTGCGGCATGAAAGAGAGTTTGACTGAAATAAAATTTTCAATATCCTACCAACTGGATATTGAAACATGAAAAGAATTATTAAATGTTCCATTCCGCAGCTAGTATTATTCTTGAATCAAGAATATTTCATATTTGATTATAACCCCGTATAAACTTTAATTAATTTTCTTTTAATATTTTACGCAGCCCCAATTGGATTATTAAAATTCATTCAACGTCGATAAATGAGTTCTTCCAATACATGCAATAAAAAGTTTTTAACATTCGCATTTATTCATATTTCATATCAATTGTATATTACGGGTATATTTGAAAACTATCGCTTGAGCGGAACAACATGAATTTGTTTTCATTAAAATTCATTGTGAAAAATGAAAATTTGATCATGCGTACCGTAGCGAATGAACAAGCAAAAAAAATTTTGAAAATCGAAGGTGACTACGTTGGTTACACGATGCCGAGACCAGTCCTAATAGTGCGCGCGATGTATGTATTAAAAACATTATAAGTAATATTGTTAACATCACGTTGGTCGCATTATAAGCGCCGCGACGCACTTTTTCCGATTCTTGCTTCCGAATGGAAGCATTGTTTAAATTACATTGCAGTAAAGCCTCAGAAAAATTTGAAAAAATTTGACATCTAATTTTGAAGTGTCTAGAAGCCCTATTAATGAAAATATAGTTAGATTTTGAAATTTTTATTCTGAAACTCCGGGCCATATACTGTGTATAAAGCGAATGTTTAGAAAAACATGGCAACTTTGATCTTGAATATATTAGCTGTGTAACTTAATTTTTACAGATTTTTTCTTCGAGCTTAAAATTATATTTAAAATAGAAATATATTCGCGGTCTTTTCTGGTTTTGAACGGATCGGACAAAAGGTTTCAGAACACGGAACGACAAGTCTATGTAAGTTACATAACCTTTCAGAATAGCAGAGTTTACGATGGCAACTGATGAACAGCACATTCGGCACTGCATTTCATACGAATTTCAACAAGAAAAAAATGCTTCTGAAGCACGGGAATCAATGTGTAGTATTCTTGGTGCTGACGTTGTATCTTATGAAACGGTTAATTATTGGTACAAAAATTTTAAAAGCGGTGGTTTCGATCTGAGTGACAAGCCGCGTCCTGGACAACCTCGAAAGTTTACAATAGCGGAATTGCAAGCTCTACTGGATGAAGACTTAACGCAAATGCAACAAGAGCTTGCAGCTCAGTTAGGAGTCACCCGAACAGCTATTTCTAAGCGTTTGCGTCAAATGGGAAAAATCCAAAAACTAGGAAGGTGGGTCCCACATGTGTTGATCGAACACAACCTAGGTCAACGTATGAACACGTGCCTTTCACTGCTTGCTCGGTAACAAAAAAAGGCCTTCTTGTGGAGAATTGTGACGGGTGATGAAAAGTATATTTTTACGAGAATCCCAAACGTAAAAAGTCGTGGGTAGATCCCGGACAATCCAGTACATTGACGCCGAAACAGAACATCCACTTAAAGAAGATTCTCCTGTGTACCTGGCGGGATATGAAGGGTGTGCTTTATTACGAACTCCTGGAAACAGGTCAGACGGTGACTGCGGAACGCTACAGCTGACAACTGAACAAACTGAGCGAAGAACTTGATCGGAAAAGGTCATTTACTGGGCAAGGAAGCAGGCAAGTCATACTGCTGCATGACAATGCACGACCTCACGTTGCTAGCGCGACTCAGAAGATCCTCTTGAATTTGGGATGGGAAGTTCTCCCGCACGCGGCATATTCACCAGACTTGGCCCCATCCGATTATCACTTGTTCCGGTCCATGCAGCACGCCTTAGTGGATAAACAGTTTAAAATGCTGGACGATGGGCGTAAATTCGTCGATGACTTTATCACCACGAAGACCGCAGGTTGCTTTCGCGACGGCATTTGAATGTTACCTGGGAGATGGCGCAAGGTCATAGAAAACGACGGACAATATTTCCAAGATTAAGTTCGTTGTTCTCTATTTTTTTATAATAAATAAATTTACTGAAAAATCTGTAAAAATTAAGTCACTCACCTAATACAATCAAGGGTAACACTGATCATAAAGAATCTCACGGGACTTCTTCAAGTATGCGATCTAGATTACTCTTGATTTTTTTTCAGCTTTTCCCTAGATTTTCCAAATTTATCATTATGTCGATTTATGCTGGTGCACCGCGGTGCTTACGGCGCGACCAACAGCGTTCGTAACTTTTGTGCGACCAACGAAGTGTTAAGGATGTTCGACACCCTTTTGGCTGAAATTCACGTTTTTTTTCCTTTTTCTGGCGAATTATCGATCGGATTGACGGAAAAAAATATAACGTTTTTGTGTTCTGTCATTATTTAATGGCTCACGCAGTGTCATGGAAGTGGGATCATTTTCCTGCGTTTTTTCTACAGTTTTGTGATTCCTTTTAAACGTTTAGCAAAAATGCACAAAAATGATCGCACCACCTTGCAACTTCGCGAGTCATTAAATAATGACAAAATGCAGAAACGTTATATTTTTTCGCGTCAATCCGACCGACAATTCGCGAGAAAAATTAAAAAAACGTGAATTTTGACCGAAAAGGTGTAAAACATCCTTAATCATATTCACAAATGTTGAAAAATCGTTCTCATCCTTGACATTTGAAATCAATTTTCTTGACATTCTATTTGAAAGCTTCGACTTTCAATATTTATTCTCCCTATACAAACCAATCTTTTTAGTCATGATTAAATGAATTCAAAACCTTAATTTTTGAGACATTGTACACCCAGAAAACTGATACGTTTGAATCGCACAAAACTGTTTTTTTTTTTCAATTTTTCGTTTTATTTCAACAGCGCTTTTACTGGAAATTAATAATCTCATACGTTTCAATTATATGAAATGAATAATTAATTCATACCGAATAGATCTTCGATTTGGATCGAGCGGTCTAAACATGATATCTACGGACTGTTCAGACCATAAAAGCTTGATACAACACAATAAATAGTTAATTCAAATGTGGACGATTAAAATACTTTCGTTCCGAAGTAAAAACACTGGGAATCCGTGTTTAAGGCTCGGCTCTATTATCTGCCGAACGTTATCTAGATTGCTTTTTTTGTTCCATTTTCATCTCTAAATTTCAACTCGATTCCCCGTCACGCAGAGATCCCCGAAAATCATGAATTTGGATAGAAAAAAAAGTAAAAAAATTTGGACATTTTGAAAGAGCGTTTCTAATTAACATTGTGGAATGAGTTCAATAGAAGAGATGTGAATAATGAATAACTACCGTGGCTAAATGGCGCCTTGTCAGCGGCCACCATGAGGGGAGGAAAGACGAAATAATAAATCCTTTGACTCAGCGCAACCAGTCGATTGTACGAAAAAAGGCTCTTTGAAAAATTTTGTATTATTTTTAAGAACTCTTCGATCACATTTTTACCATGAATTAGTAATTACTTACACCAATCTCCTCAATTCAAAATTGTTCTGTCCATCAACTGTCACTTTTATCGGAGGCGCAAGGAAAAGAAGAAAGAGCCATTTTCCTGTTTCCAATTCCCGGCAAAAGTGACAGCTGATCGCCAGTACAATTATCAATGGAGAAGATTGGCGTAAGTGATTAGTAACTCATCGTAAAAGTGTGATAAAAAAATTCTTAAAAATGTTACAAATTTTTTTAAAGAGCCTTCTTTCGTACAATCGTCTTATTGCGGTGTGCCGAAGAATTTATTATTTCGTCTTTCCTCCCGCATGATAGCGACTGACAGGCCACCATTTGCCACGGTAATTATACATTATTCCTATCTCCTCTATTGCAATAATTCCTCAACATTAATTGAAAACGCTCGTTCAAAATGTTCAGAATTTTGTTTACTTGTTTTAAAATCTAAATTCAACATTCTCGAGTGTCCTTCGAAATGACGGGACATTGAGTTGAGATTTCGAGATAGAAATCGAACAAAAAAATCAATTTAGATAACGTGCAACAGATAATGGAGCCGGGTCTTAATTGGATATTAATTGAAACAAAATATTAATTAATTATGGTAATCACTTACTGCACCACTCCCCCCAGCAACAGTTTCATAATATCCCCAGGACTCTGTCCCAAAAGTCACATTGTTCATGCATCCCTGAGACGCTGCACAAGCTCCAAAAGCCGCAAGTACCACGTCAACAACCCTTTGTGAAGTCAAAACATTCCCTCCAACAACTGCAGCCTCCTCAGACGGGTCCAGTAAACTACCCTTCGGTATTATTATCTTGACTGGTTTCAAACATCCCTGCAACACCAAAACTCCAGCGTCTTTTAATAACTGAACGAGTGAAAAATCCTCTTAGGAGGTACAGCACGAACCTGATTCAGTGGTACATCCCGGCCAACGATACACCTCAGACAATAAATTATTGCTGATAACGTAACAGCCCGTGGTGCATTACAATTGCCCCACACTTCGTATCCAGTACCCCTAGACAGATAGATCAGTACATTTAACAGTTCACAATCACTAAGTTTCCTTGTAATTAAGGTGAGACAGCGGTGAAAATTGAAAGTCCTTGTTAGAGCTAGGGACATGTTAGAAAGTCGGAAAAATGATACGCCCAATCGATTCTGTTTTTAAAATTCGTTTTAGAATTTTTTTTTCAGTTAAATGAGAGTCAATAAAAATCTGAAAAAATTACAATGCCGCTTTTGACTATATTGCATTTATTGGCAAATTTTATTGCGTTTATACTCGCATCGATTGAGTACTAGAAAAGTTTGAAAATTCGAATGGCTTAGAATTCCCGTGTTTAATCTCTAAAAATTCCATTTCGGCACGGAATCAAATCAACTTTTTGTATTAAATCGCCCCTTTTTTCCTAGTTCTATTACCATTTCCCGTTCATTAAAAGTTGAAACCTTTCTCTAAACCCAAAATTAATCATTTTTTTCAAAATTTTTTTTCACAAATGATAAAATACCACGGGCGGCGTAATTGAATGGTCATTTTGCATCACGAGGTATGCGTTAAATCAAGAATGGTCAGAAGACGGTTAATTTAAGCCTGTAAATTTGCCTCGTACAATAAAAAGTATGTAGTTTCTGATCGAAATTGCATACGTGAAATCACAGACAGCCTCTCCCTTATTGATATCAACCTCCAAACGAAGTTGAATAACACTGCCATCGTCCAGATAATCCCTGGCAGTCACCCCGCAACTTCCTGTTTTTCTCAGCAGCTTTTCTCCGACAGTTGTAAGCATCTCTCTCACCGCCATTTCTGCATTACTCTGTATATGACCCATATATGCTTGGACAACGTCCAAACCATAAATGTCGATGAGCTCGTTTACCAGCTGCGTGCCCTGCAAGTCAACACTCCCACCCAAGGGGAGAATTCCGTCAGTATTGGATATAACACGCTTCGGTGAGTACATCGGAGGCATTGCGTTCATCCAACCTTATGATTAGCAGCAATTTGAGCTTTAAGATCACTGAGATTGTCCGGTAAATTGCGAGTACCAGAGCTTCCGGGATGTTTGCCTGGTGACATCAGTGCTTCGGTTACTTCTTTCTCGCGAAATACACCTTTGTGGACTAGCAGAAAACTCTTGAAGGTTGCACCTTCCTGAAAGAATGGTCATTACCTCAAATTGAATTGATGTTCCGCTTCAAAACCGAATATCAAGGGACGAAGTTGCGTCCCATGGCCAAGAACGGGTACGCTACTGCCAAATTATATGCGAGTCAACTTCTCACTCCACCATCCAAATATCTTTTTTTTTTATTGCATTGTTTATCCCATCCCAACACATTTTATATTTCATAAATGGTTTCATCTATCATTCGAGTCCTTATTGTAATTTTTTCAAATTTTATAAACAATAGTTGACTGATAAAATAATTTTTTCATGAATCAAGTGTTGGGATTTTCGTCGATTGATTTCTCTAAGCCCTCTAAACGGAGACTATAGTGAGTAATATAGTGACTTCGGAGGAGTATAGGGAGCTGGGTGTGTTGTGTGACGTCAGCAACACCTTGAATACCCGTGACTACAATACTATCCAAATGGAGTTAAGTGGAACGTTTGTTATGATCTTCAATTCTTGATGTCTCGCTTGATATCCTTGTTTATACACAAAGATGTTGGAATTTTGACTCGATGACAAACGTTTCCCTTTGCCTCAGGTTCTCTCATTATTAAGGAAAAATGTGTTGACAAGAACAGGTGAATCACCAGGAAAAAAAAATAGCAGAAGAACACTCGCTTAGGACGAGCATTACTCTCTATATAATGAATTGCAGGATTAAAGATATGTCATTACAAATATGTGTGAAATCTTCCGAAAAACAAAAACAAATTTTTGCAAAAAAACGGGCCAAGGATGGGTCCGAGCGTTCTGTTTACAAAAATTGGCAAAATCACGAAAAGTGCTAAGCACTGAATACATAGAGAACCGTCGAAAGAACAGAAATTAAGAAAATAAAATGATAACAACGAGATAATAAAAATTCCAAGTCAACCAATTTGGCGTGCGATTGGAGCTCCTAAAAAATCGCACGCCAAGTTTGTTGACTTGGAATTTATACATAATATGTACACAAAGAAATGTTCTCTTGAAATAGGGGAGGGTGGGGCAAAATGGCCCCCCTTCAATTGTCAATAACTTGTGAATGGCATTGTGAAAATTCTCAGTTTCAACTTCATTTTGAAGATAATTTTTCATTCTTCAAAACGAGCTCTAACTCATCCCAATCGGATTATTGAATCGGAAAATATTGACGATTGGAGGGGGGCCGTTTTGCCCCATCCTCCCCTATTAACAGCAATTTTGATTGACAAATAAATTTCTAAATAGATTCCCCTGTTTCCCCTCGGCGAAAATTGGTGACTGTATTTCAAAAACTATAACTCAAAATTTATACGTTAGGAATTTTTTTGAGCAGAATTTTCGGTTACAAAAAATTTAAATTTCTAATTTTAAGTGGTCAGAGACAATTTTCACCTACAGAAGCTGATTTTTGAGGAAAAATCATGCGAACGATAGTATCGCCAAATATCTAGTTTTCGAACGCACATATAAAACGGCTTAGTTTTATTTCTATTGAAAAAAAATGTTTTGCGGGTTTTCTTTGCTGTCTCTGAATGGCTCGACCAATTTTGTATGGAATAATTAATGATGTGATTGAATGAGGCCACAGAAGTTCCAGAAATGTCTGACAACTAGCTCCTTATATTTATTTTTTGTAGAAAAACGAAAAAAATTTTTTTTCAGTGGCAACCCTCTCCTTAAACTGAATAATTTACCCATTGATATGAACGTTTTGTGGATTCATTTTCCGTCAATTGACATTTAATTAAATTAGTAATTAATATATACTTCTAGCAAGTGAAATGAATTTTATAATGCTCTTAATAGAGAATTCCTTTCAATCTCGAATATCATTCATTTGAAGTGAATAAATACTTTATTCAATAACCGCGGATATACTACTTATTCAAATGTATTGATCTACGGGTTTGAATTTAATGAAATGTCCATCCAATTCGGATGAATTTCTTTTCATAATCTGATGAAACAATCCATTCGATCAGAACGAATATCCTATGCCACATGCATAACTCCATCTGGTTTAAATGAATGAGTGATGAGATGAGATTTTTATGAAAATAATGAGAAAATGCAAGTGAAATAGATACCCTTGAATAATCAAACCCAAATATATGGAGAATTCGGGACACTTCGTATCGTTTCAAGGTACCTGTAAGGTTTTTAATTCCAATAATTATTTTTTTTATTTCGCCATTAATACCTGAGATATTGAGGATTATGAACAGTTTATTTTACCCGACTCTCCGCTATTTGAATCATACCACAATGAAAAAAAATCTTCAGGTAAATCCATGGATTCAATGCATTCATTCGAGGAGTCATTCTCCCGTGAATTCTCTATTTCTATTCTAATCTTTCGTAAAATATGTCATTTCATTGACGCCAAACAGAAAAAAATTATATTTTGACACCGCTGCTACGTTCACCTCGTCTCGAAAAGTGCCTTTTCGTTTACTCGACAACGAAAAATCTTTTCTTCTACTTGTAAATGACAAAGGCACAGTTCGGTTACTCGCTGAACGTAACATCAGTGTTAAAAAATAGTGTTCGACCCATGTGAGACGGGAATTTTCAGCTCGTGTGATTGGCACCCTCGACTTCGCCTCGGGCCACTAACTTTATACTCGTGAAAATTCCGTCTTGCGCGTATCGAAATATACTATTTTGAAGCACGTGCGTGGAAAAATGCCATGGGGACAAATGAGAGAGCGTAGGGACATAGAACTTTCCATATTTATGAACGATTATTTATTAAAAAATAGTAATTATCGTGATTAATAGAAGTGAATTCTATTTCTGAAGGTCTTACCTTTTTGTATCTAATTTAAACAACCGTATCTTTACGCTCATTTCGATAGAAATATTGGACTAATGATGTGTTCATCTTAGCTAGACGAGCCGTTTAGGGGCATTTACCTTATATTTGTTTTCGGACAATGCAGCGGAGTGTCAGCACCTGCAATATTTATACCCTACTCTATTCCCTAAAGTTAGATCGAGAAAGAACCTCAAGATCATTATCTAGGTATAGCTTATAATGCACAGTCAATCATAAGTGGATTAGTATAAATAAGATATTCTAATTATTTTTTAAATAATAGAAAAGGTATTACAAGAACTAAAGGCGCAATGTTAAGGGATTAATGTTCTTCGCAAAAAGAACCTCTAACACTTTAGACATAAAGACAAGAAATAAAATTACGTCTTTAGACGGTGAGTTGGAGGAATTTTGGGACTGAATAAGTTAATTACGGTTGTGTAGGGCGTAGGTTTATCGTAGTGTTCTTTTCGCGGGAGTCGCTGCATCTGCCACGTCCTTGTCCGAATGCTTGTCCATGACTACTAACAATGAGCAACGTCAAGAGCAGTTGCGCCGGGGCGAGTATTCATCCCGGTTTAGTTTTCAGGAATTTAAGTTGTTAGTACCGTTTCGCCTCTATATCCGGATTCGTCTCTTCTTGGTCATCTCATAACGCAAATGATTCATTTTCTAATGGAAATCCATTAATTAATAATTTTTCAAGTTTCCATTGTTATTATTTCGCTCGATATGATAAAAATCCAAATCGGCTTCTGGTGATAAAAATTTGAAACTCGAAATTAAGACTCCAAAATAAAGGTCACGAGGGTTAGATTGATGGTCATGAGAGTCAAAACATGGGTTACGAGGATCAAATGAATAATTGAAATTGTTTAAACTTTCGGAAACCTTTTTTAGGCATGAAATCGATTTCTGGTAAAATTCTGAATAGGCATAATTTTTTTACATTTCCGAACAAATGATTTTCATAGTGGAAAATTGATTGTTTATAAATTATTTAAACAAAATATTCGCAATTAAACAAAATATTTTTTAAATTATTTTATCAATTTTCCCCGGAAAGTAAACTTTCTAATTGTTGTTCAAATTTTTAAAATATGTCGTAACGGTTTAGTATCGGGATTCAAATTCAGACCTGTAAAGTTTGAATAATAAAATCATTGTAAAATGTGCGGAAACTTATGGTTAAATGAAGCTCTAATGTTTGACAACAAAATTAGAAAACCATATCACTGGGGAAAAAATAGCAAAGGGCTTGGATATCCTTAAATATGGAGACCTTTCCGGACACCTAGAAAAATGATTTATTCGAATCCAATGAATAATTTCATTTAAACAGTACGAAATGAAAATTTTATTCAATTAAAAAAATTCTCTTTACTTGAAGTTTATAATAAATGAATGGTTTCCTTTAGTATTAATAAATCTTCATTTGGAGAATTTATTTTGATCACATAAAGATTTATTAATAATAAATGAAAATTTTTTTTACGTCCAGAAAATTTCTTTATTTAAATTAAATATATTTTTTCTTCGAAGTCACTAAGAATTCTGTTGGAATTATTATATTAGTGAGACGTAGATGAAGGCAAAAAGCCATCTCTAATGAGTTCGTTTTCCTTGATATGGATTGTATGTTTAATAACACCGGAGTCAGAGTGTTTATAAGAATTTTGTTTAGTCTCAGTAGAGTGGAGGAGTGGGATGAATGCCTCTTTATGGATCAGATTTTTGACCAGAGTTCGTTACCAATTTCTTTGTATCGAATCAGTCTCTAGGAGAGCTTTGAAGAGTAAAGACGTGCCCTCATTAATAAAACCAGTTAAATTCAAATAATCAATCACGAGTGTTTTCATTTATCGCCATAATCCTAATAAATTCATTTGATACTAATAATTTGTTGTCGCTCCAGTATTGCAATTGACTTGGAAAAAAGTGAAAGAGAAAAACGGAATAATCATTGAGGCGAAGGAAAACGGCAGTTATCTACATGGCACGCGAATATCTTTGGACCATAATTTTGAATTTCATAACAAAATACCTGAAAACATGATTTTTTAAAAATAAGAAAACTCTTGCTTAAAAATCACTAAATTTTTTCTTATGAACAAGTTTATTCATTTCTCGCAACGACATTCTTACAACGAGTAAGAAATATAAAATAAAGTTTTTTTAATTCAATGAACCATGTTTCTAAGCATAGGATATTCGTTTCCGGAACAGCAAATGTGTCGTCAAAGGCAATGCCGCCAAAAGGGTTAATTAATACTATCTCATATATCATTGGTTACCAAAAACTCATTATTTTTCTCATCCATACGATTACCTGCAGCAGTGTAGTTGAGTGCGGTGGCATTGACCCGGGCGTAATGCCCCCAATGTCCGCATGATGTCCCCTACTAGCGACAAAGAACACAGGCTTCTCTAGATCCCTGCATTAAAGGCAAAATGTACCCTCTAAATAACTCAAAAATCCTTCATCTTTTCACCTACCCATGAAAGACCGGTGTGATGACTGTCAAATCCGGAAGATGTGACCCACCAGCAGAAGGGTGATTAGCCAGGATTACATCGCCCCGTGTGAACTTACCATTGAATGCTTTCATTTGATACTGAACAGTCTCCTGCATTGCGCCCAAATGAACCGGTATATGAGGTGCATTTGAAACGAGACCACCATCTGGGCCAAATACTGCGCAAGAAAAGTCGAGACGTTCTTTTATATTTGTAGAGATCGATGTACGCTGGAGGACCCTTCCCATTTGTTCAGCAATACTCATAAATCTGTGTGAAAAAATACTTAAATGAATTGCATGGAGTTCTGTTGTTATATTAGCTCGTAAACCCTGGCCAATGGTGACGCGAATGTCCCCCCGAGATGTTATTACTGCTGTGCAATTAGGCTCTATCAGTATTGTGCTGAGATTGTCGATGATAATGGCGGGACCCTTGATTACATGACCATGTGATAACGCATCCATCTTGTACACATTTGTGTCTTGATAGCCTTCCTCGAAATAAACCTTCGCTACTTTCTCCAGTTTGGGGCTATTTGTTGATCGAGGCAATTCTGGTTCATCCGGAATTGCAGATTTTCCAGTGCCACGAACTCTCACATCATTCACCACAATTTTTCGATTTGGCATTGTGAATCCAAATTCAGTTTGATATCTCTCTAAAAAACTGCTCAAAAAGTCACCATGTCTGGGGATATTGTCATTTCTACCATTTTTTGAATGATCTGGGACACACATTAAAGCACAATCTGTTCCTTCATATCGTAAATGCAAAAAATATTGAACTTGAATTTGATCATCAGAAAATCCTTGAGATTTCAATTTAAATCGAACGTTCTCCTCTAGGGCTGTCAATCGTTCATCAAGTTTCAAAAAAGCATCTGAAAGGAAAATGAAAAATGAATCAATCGAGTTGTGAAGCTTCCGACCTATCCATTAATTGAGTTATATCGAACCCCTTTGGTAGGCCTCAGCACTAGGCTCTTGTGCCTCTTCCACAACGTCAGCCAGCGCCATTCCATACGCTGATAGAATCCCCGCATACTTGTGAACAAATACTGTACCCATACCCAGGGATCTCGCGATGGCACAAGCATGCTGCCCTCCAGCTCCACCGAAACAAGCCAAAACGTGTGCAGCGGTGTTGAATCCTTTTGCCTATTCACGTATGAACGTTTGATAATTGGTTTAGCTTCAGGAATTTACATTTCCCTTGTGGTGAAATTGCAAATGTTCAAACCTGGGTGAGAGCACGTATGGGACGACACATAGCTTCATTCGCTACTTTCAAGAAACCCATTGCTACTTCCTCCAAGGACATCCTTTGAGGGATCTCGCTGGTTATTGGTGATGATTGTGGGTAATCGTTTATCTGAATAGTAACCGAATAATTAGGGTTTCTTATTGAGTTGTGAATTATTCACGGAAAAAAATATTCTCGAATGGGGTATCAGGGAATGCATTTGCCTCCCGTCGCCAAGAACGGGTGCGCTACAGCTATATTATACGCGAGTGAACTTCCCCCTCCAGCACATCAATATCTTTACTTTTTTTTGCATTATTTATCCCATCCCAGGACATTTTAGATTTCATAAATGGTTTCATCTATCAGATGAGTCCCTATTGTAATTTTTTCAAATTTTATAAACAATAGTTGACTGAGAAAATGATCTTTTCATGAATCAGGTGTTGGGATTTTCGTCGATCCACTTCTCTAAACCCAAAGCGGACATTATAATAGGAAAGTTTGTAGCACTACTACTAACTACGGATGAGCCTAGGGAGTTGGTTGTGTTGTCTGACGTAACGCCGATATTCAAAAGTGATTGGTGGATTATATAAATGCCCTTTACCAATGCTTGAATACCCGTAACTACAATACTATCCAAATCGAGTCCCATTAATAATTCGGAAAACCACCAATTGCTAGCGGAAAGGGCGAATCCGCGGAGAGAGAACGTATGAAAATACGTCCCTGAGTACTCCTCGTGATTATTGCTCGATCTCACTTAAATTCGAACGGCGCGTTGTCAGTACACTCGTACTGGAGAGATTGTAGTCACTTCGGTTCCTATTCCCCCACCATTAGGTTATATGGGAGGCGACGACTAGAATCTCGCCAGTACGCCTGTACAATACATACTATCTCTTACAAACGCAACGTACCAAATAAAATATGTTATTTTTGCAGTTAATTGAGAACAATTAACTATAATCGATTGGACAAAATAAAATGAACATTTCTTTTCTTATACCCGGCTCTCATATTATTTATTTGAATATTGATAATTCACCTCTTAAGAGACTCCAGAAATACACGGACGAAAAAATTTAATAGAAAAACCTATCGAATTCTTTAGAAAATTCTGTTGAATTTCTATTGAACTGTTCTATTAGTTTTTGGCCGATTCTATTAAAATGTTCAATAGAAAATATTCAGTGAAAAAGTTAATAGAATTCAATTTTTCTGTATAACTTATTTTATTGAGATATTTTCTGTAGAATTTCCTCGGCTCAAATTTTCCAAGTTTTTTCGTTTGATTTTCTTGATGAGAAGAAGAGAAAAATAGAATGAAAAAAACTTAAAAAATTTGAGTCAAGCAAACTCTACAGAAAATATATGAAAAGAATAAATTATTTTAAAAAAATCGAATTCTGTTGAATTTTTCTACTGAATGTTTTCTATTGAACATGTCAATAGAATCAGCCAAAAACTAATAGAAAGTTTAACAGAAATTTAATAGAATTTTCTAACGAATTCGATAGGTTTTTCTATTAATTTTTTTCGTACGTGTATACAGTTAAAGGAGAGGGCAATGGAAAAAATAAATAAATAAATAGGAGCACTCAGGGAAATAATGGACATAACTAAAACATTAAACTTCGCGTATTCACATGCTAAAGAATACCTACTGTACTGTGAATATGTACTGTACCCCATCCCAGGTACAATACATATTATTCATTGTAAATTATTAACTCAAGTTCGCGAGTTGAAATTTTCATTAACTCCAAGAAGAAGAAGAAATTAACGTGTAAAAGATAACTCCAGTTGAGAATAAAATCAAAAGACCATAGAGTATTTGAGGTGTTGAACGAACATTCTCAACACATTCTTAAGAATCGAGTCATCAACAAACTCACAGTATCACTCAACTTCTCGAACGCTTTCAGAGTCGCCGATTTATCAAGAGGTTCATTCTCCTTGGGTCCAAAAATCTTAGGAAAATATTCTGGAAGTAGTCGGCCAAGCGCCAGATTAGCATCTGTCACAGCAAGTGGTCCACCTTTTTTATAGCAAGTGGGTCCTGGATGAGCTCCAGCACTCTCCGGTCCAACTTGAAAGATTCCCGATCGAAAAAACAGCATAGAGCCACCACCAGCCGCCACCGTATTCACATCAAGCTGCAATAAATTTACGAAATTTCTCAAATGCAACAATTTTTCAATATTAAATTTTCGGTCACGTCCACCAACCTGCGGTGCTTGAATCGTAACTCCAGCAGTTGTGCTCTCGTAAACGTGCTCGTAACTTCCACTGTAACGACTGACATCAGTAGATGTACCACCCATGTCAAATCCAATGATAGGCAATGTAGTTTCCTTACAATAAGTAGTCATTGCATAGCCAACTACACCACCCGCAGGCCCTGAGAGAATTGCTCGTGAGCCGTTGAAGCTAAAGTGAGAGATGGGAATTGCACGATAAAAGTATATTGCCATCGTTGCTGATACTTTTTTCATCCCGACAAGTGTATACTCACGAATTCATTGGTGTCAAGCCACCATCACTCTGCATGAACAGCACATTTACTCCCTTTAAATTGTGCTTGAAGCCTGACGCAAAACTCTTCGAAAATATGGGGATAATTAAGGTTTATCATAATCAACCTAGCAGCGAAGTGGTGAAACGAGATAATTCAACTTCATTTCAGGCTAAACTTTTGATGAATATTTTCTATTGTACGGGAAATAGGGAACTTTTTATAAGAACCTTCTTATTAGAGCCAAATGAAATCTTCAAAAAAGCGGTGGATACAAATTTCATCATCTCCTTTCAATTCTGAGAGATTCAGGGTGGACTAAATCAGGCGAACTTGACTCATCTCGTTTCATTATTGCTGCTGAAACTTTGCAGAGATAAGATTTGGTAATTGTACAAGAAATTTAACAAAAAACAGAGCATTCCAAAGTTTTTGACGATCTTCCAATTTTGCCTGGAAATGACGGAGAATATCATGAGACGTGAAGATATGATGTTTTTAGAAAATGTGTGTAGGGGAACTGGTACCCGTACCGCTCAACGGGTAATACCGCCCACTCGTAGTATTTCTCAGGATTGGCTGAGAATTTTTTTTTTATTATGCAAATATTTGATAACAAAAAGTAATTTCAACAGAAATTTTCAATTTTCTCCTGTAGAAATATCGTGATAAAAAAAATCCACATCATTTTCTACCGAAATCTTAGAATATTTCGACCTCCCAATTGTAAGGATATTTTCCCGGGTTGTTCACCCAGGAAAAATCCAAACTACTTTTAGGCCGTCTCTATCGCTCAATAGTCGGGCGCCAGCCGAACCTTCACGGGAGGTCCGACGAAAACCGGCCTCTGAGGCAAACTCGTTTACTCAGAGGACTTTGTGGCTATACAATGGATAGCCCAGCTAACATCAGCTTGATACGGTAGAGTGGGCGAGGTCCACCAGGAGTACAATCGCCACATCCCCACGGCATTTGCAAGCCGCGGATTATGCCTCGCGGCATAAGTTCCCTACCGAATTAGATTCATCTTTCTTCCGGGGGGTCTCTCGACCCCTCCGGCATGCTTCCTCTTCGCGAGTATTGATACTCGGAAGAGTTTCCGAATTATCTGCGAATCAGCCGGGACTCCTCAGAGCCTGGGACGTTGAGAAGCTGATCTGACCAGGGTGGAACTACGTTACCCACGCTACGATCACCCACACTCTCAACCACCAGTTACCGCTTTAGTCATCGCGCGTCACTGCCTCCGGGTAGTACTAGACCGTCGGCGTATGTTCGGGCCGACAGGAGGATTTCTCGACTCCAGGCCCACCGGCCCATACGCCTCGAATCGTTCCGCCGAGACTAGATGATGCCGGACACGACGAAGTCGTCACCTCGCGTTCCGAAATAACTCGGATTTACACGCGGGGATGCAGGGGCATCCCCCTATATTTGCCGCCACAGTTATGCACCAGGCTACGCTGAGTAAAACTCCTTACCATGGTTTCTTCAGCCATCCGCCACTCCAGCACACCGAGAGATTATTTCAACCTCTCGGTTCAAGCGCTGGCATGCGACTAACTCGGAATCTTACTAGGGCCTTCTCCCCCTAGTCTGGGTATCTCAGCGACGATAGGTCCTTCCGTTACCCTATCCCCACCAAGCAATTCGACGAGATCCCGGGGGCACCAGTCCTTTCACCTGTGGCCGTTGGTCCCTAGTCTACTCCGACATAGCCTATAGAATCGCCCAGTTGGACGGCCTGTACGTCGGCCCCGTTTCCCCTAGCACATGCTGGGCGAATTCTAATACGGCGATAGTCTAGTAACGCCCTCCAGAGCTCCAGGGGTCGCGGTTTCACCCATAACCGCTATGCCTTAGGTCTTTCATCGGTTTGTGGCTCTTCTCATCCAGTTGCGGCTCTTTCAGCCACCTCTAGATGTCACTTCCTGTCTCTCTTATCACAAGTTTAACAGTTCTCTTTCTTATTTAAGGGGATTTCAACCCGTAACGAGAAAATCTTGTTACACAATTTAAGATTTTTCAAATTTTCAATTGGTCCATAATTGAATGGAGTGCGAAATATATCTTCGTTATGTGAGGAATCTGACGGATGAATGTTAAAATTCCATATAGATGTGTAAGTGTGGGCGTGTGAGTAAAGCAGCGGGAGATGTGCGTGTGTGTGAGCGGAGAGTTCAGTCCGGCGTAGACCATTGTACGAAACAATCGAAATAATTTTAAATGTATATTGGAATAAGTTTCTCTAGAAAATTCTCATTTACTTGATTAATAATTCCTGAGAAATCACCCCATAGTAAAACCCTTACAGTTAAACATTTTGACATCCATTGCGACCTTTTCGATAGCAGAAAAATATCCTCATCAGTTATTATTGGCTATTTTATCAGCCTCCACGTTTGTGGTAATTCCGTCCAGAATTTGTGGGTAATGCCGCCCAGGGTTTCTATAGGGCTACTACACTCTGCAGCTAGAGGACCTCAAAAGGCAGCTCGATTGTTTGGGGTAGTCGGTGGCCACTGGAACATCGGGTAAACTCAAGATAATTTATTATTAATCACGTGAAATCTTTCTCAAAATAGAGCCAAAGAATAGAAACGAAGAATGAAAATAAGAAAAATTATAACAGTTGGTCTGCATTGCTCAAAAAAACTTATCAAAACACGGTGGGCGGTATTGGACGCATGCGGGGCGGTATGACCCATAAAATTTGATGCCAATCGCTCATTGGCTCATGACAATTGAACTACATAATTAAATACGTTTAATGTTAATAAAAAATCTGTCCTCTTCACATCTTCGGGTAAACACCTGGACGAACCCATTCTAACCGTTTATAAATGCTTGTAGCCTGCGAGATTGGAAAAAACGACTTATTTCCCTTAGGTGGGCGGAAACATGCACGAGCTCCCCATGTATGTCCGGATGTGTATGCGAATTTTTCGGACAATTTTTACAAATCATCGCAGAAAAAAGATTAAAGTTGAAGCCAAAAATCTGAAATTTCATCACATAATTGATGTTGAAATTCGGTGAGATTGTAGCTCTAATGATACTACAGGATGGGATTGTGGGTAGGCGAAATCGGACTAGTGGTTTCAAAGATATTCAACTTTTTGTGAAAAACTGTTTTGTTCAATATCACCCAAACTACTGGTCCGATTAATTGTTAATTTTTTTTTTCGGACGTTCATATAAAATTTTCGAGGTCTTCGCATTTTTCTTTCTTCAATTGGGAAATAATGTGAGGTTCCATAATAAGCGGAACCCTTGGAATAAACATCAGAGATTCTGGCTACCGACGTCGGTGGCCGAAGCGGCTAGGTGCGAGCCTAGTGTGCGAAAGGTTGTGAGTTCGATTCCCCGTGGAACCGAGTTTTTCAACCGGAGGCTCCGGCGAGCGGGAGGTTGCTAATATAGTGACCGCCTGTTGTACCGGCATGGGTTTTCTGTGGTTTCCCATGCTACTCCTATGTTCTATAAGAGTGCGAATGTTGTGCAGTGTAGAATCCAAAGCCGCATAGGGCCGATTAGCCAATCAGAGGGCAGAAAGGGCCGGAATATAAAAAAAAGAGATTCTGGCTACTAATTAGTGTTATTGCGTCACACTTGTGTATAAAATGTGTTGTCAATCGATTCAATACATCCTGGTATAGAGCAATTCATCAAAAAAAAATTTTTTCTAAAAAGTCACACATCGTAATTTTATCGATTATTTTCGCTTCTAGAGGTTCATTCTCGACTTGTTTTCCCATTCTATTAAAAAAACTCATAGTTTTTCCGCAGGTTTTCTAGTAGATACGAAATGTTTTATGGAAAAGTCAATCTATTTCGATTCATTTGTACGACGTTCTATTCAGGTATTTCCTATGGAGATGTCTCAGCGTGTTCTTTTTTGTTGCATTTTATGCCTGTTCTTATTAACAAATGGAAATACAAAAACTCAACGTATACAAGAGAGTGAGTTGTACGTTTTCTGTTAAACATTTCTATAATGGTGAAAGCATGGAAAAACTGCGGGATTTTATAGTAGGAACAGCGAAAATCTGATAGAAATTTTTTCGTGTTTTTTTATTTTCTAGGTTGTATATTGCCCGTAGTCATTTGGAACAAGCCCTGAATTTTCGTGAATTCTAGATCGTTGGCACAGATCTTCTACAAGTAACAATGGGCAATTCCGTCTGATACTCTTTTATTTGCATTCTAATTTGAAATTTCATAGGTCTTTTTTTTCTAAATCAAATCACTCCTTAAAATTATTATTAGACTGTCTATGAAGTTTCATTATTTTTCAGTACCGCGGTGTGGAAAAATATGTCTCCAAGAAATACAATCCACATAGGAATCATCAGAGCAAAAATTGAATAAGGAACCAAATCAAGTCAGAAAATTATTAATAGATGATTAAAAATTGAAATTCGGTGGAGACAATAAATCTGAAGTAGAACTGTTTATTTCCCTTCAATTATTGATTCAAAAAATGTTATCTTATGAAAAATGAATGAGTTAAATTAAATTGAAAAGAACAAATTTCACCGGATGTAAAAATAGTGCTTGCTTATTTTGGAAAAAATAATGAAATCTGCCTAAAAACACAAAAACAAATGTTTTTGTAAAAAAAACTTGGCCAAGAAAAAGTTTTGTTTGATTCCTACTGGGAAGTCTAAATTTTTGAAAAATACATAGAAATAAAAAAGGAAGCCAAGTCAGGAATTTTGAATAAATGGTAATAGTGCACAATCAGGTTTCTATAAGAAAAATAGTACTCAATGGAATAAGTATTCTAAAAAAATTCTCCATGAAATGAAAAATCAGTAGAAGCAGCACCAACGTCCTTGGCGTGGATCAAAGGATGGAGGATTAGATTGATACAGACAGTGAGTTGAAAAACTCCGCGCCAAGAACGTTGGTCCTGTTCCTAGTGATTTTTTATTTCATGGAGAATTTATTTAGAATACTTATTCCATTGAGAACTACCGTGAGGACGGCAGTTCTTGGACGGTATTCAGATCTCGGACGCAGAGCACTCTTACGATTGAATTTCAAATTAATTGCATATTCATAGTGCTCGATGGCCATTTTCTGTTATTCCCTCCAAAAG